ACTTACTGACACTTGCCGTTGTCGCTGACACGCATGCATTGAAACTCACACCCAAACGCACATATGCACACACTCGACCATTTCTGTACGATGAGATGTGCAGCTCTCCTGCTGCTTCTCTCACACGGACACAGACAGAGGCCCGGCAAAGGTGCTGTATCAAATGAAATTGCACAGAAGTGTAATAAAAAAAAGTGTTTAAAAAACAAAATATCCCCCATCGGATTAAAAGCACATTTTATTAAGCAGATGGTGAAAGAGGATTTCCACTCTAGTAAATATGACAGGGCTTTCAAATGTGACATGGGAGGCAGAGGTAGAGAGAGAGAGAGAGAGGGGAGGGGAGGACGAGAGAAAGAGACAAGGAGGGAATGGGAAAAAGAGCGCAATGCTGCAAAAGAGGGGAAAGAGGGAGAGTGTGTGAGAGAATGAGGGGAAAAAGTGGAATAAATGGGGGAAAAGAAATCTGGGAGAGGAGAGGAGAGGAGAGGAGAGGAGACACAAGTGAGTAGAGCGTCAAAGCTGCATTCTTTAAGCAGATCAGATTTGGGGAAATTGGGCTGTCACTACAGGATTGTGATGATTTACACCTATCCATCACAGGGAGAGCGAGCGAAGCAGAGCCAGAGTATGTACAATAATGCACAGCAGCTGTACAAATGGAGGAAATCCATCCTAAACAGGTGCCATTCACTGCTTACTTTTCCATTTTCGATTTAATATTCTGCAAATAATACATTTAGAAAAAGGAAGGCCATATTTAATACGATGTAAAGCTTACTAATATATATATATAACAGAGAATCAGCCAGTTCATTACTTTTACTACACGATTACATTAACTGAGTGGTGCTGAGTCACAAAAAGAAAGCAAAAGTAATAGATTAGGACTTCAAATACATTTTATTTACTCCAGATGTTACCCAAATGAATTTAATAAAAAATCTGAAAGCCAGATCCAACCAGTGTAAACACATTTTACAACTGCACATTTTGACCTGCCACAAGCTGCTGTTGACACTCGTCTCCTCAGCCTCCTCGCCTGATCTTCCCTCTCTTTCCCCCCACGCCCTCGTTCCTCCCCCTCTCCCTCCCGTCACTGCTGGCTGATGCACCTTACAGCCTCGCTCTTGGACCATCTGTTAGGGAATCTAATTCACATCCAGTCATAATCAGGTTTGCTGGAGTGCCCACTGTCTCTGCCCATCTCTGTCTCTCTGTCTGTCTCTGCCTGCCTCTTTCTGTCTATTTTATTTTCTGTCTTTGATTGTCAGTTGTTACTTTTTCCATTTTTCTCCTCTCCCTGCTCCGTGCCGTTGGGAGTGTTTCACGACAGCCTGTCTGAATTTAATTTTGCGTATTTGGTCACATTATCAACATCTTTCTCTTTACTTCCCCGTCATTTTATTTAGTAAATTATAAACATAAATCAGCAGACTGGGATGCATGAACTGCAATAAAAAGGAAAACTAATTGATCTTATCAAGGTTTTTGAACAATTTAGTAGTAATATAGTCCATCAACATCTTAGCAGTATTACCTTCACTTCCGTATGATTTTAAATGTTTTCCTACACTTTCCTAAAAACTCATCGTCTTCACAAACTAATTCAAATGACAAAGATTTAACTGCTGCTTCAGCAATTTGATGGTAAAACAACTTATAAGCATTAAGCGACATTGCTTTGAAAATGTGAGGCGCTGTCTCGACACCACATCTTAATTGTACATGTTTACGTGAGTGTATATGTGCGTGTTTGCCCATGATTGAGAATAAGGCGCGCTGAGGTGAAGGGGGTGGAAGTTAATGAGAGGTGAGTGTCTGAAACCCCCCCTCTTCCTCTCTCTCTCTCTTTTTCTCTCTCTCGCTCGCTCTCTCTGCTCCTGCAGTAATCCTCTTCTATAAATCTGCAATCCAATCAGCGTTGTCCACACTTACACACACACTCTCCCTCACACACACACACACACACACACACTTACAAACACACACAGAGCTGTTGGGAGGCCCATCTGTGTGTTAAGGCAATCTGCTTTATCATTATGATTACATTGGGCTCAGTTTACAGCAAAGTGTGTGTGTGTGTATTCAAGCGCATCCTTGCTGCCTGACATTAATCACATTCCCATGGTTTGATGGCCTAAATAAAAAGAGGAATAATATTGTTGCTGTCCAATGAAAACGGCAGATCTCCAAAAACGCATCGGGAATTTCTTCACAATTCAGGAAACTTTAGATGTGAGAGAAGGCTTCAAGAAACAAATGAACGTTTTTCACTCTGTCACCACGTTTGATAGATTTTATAAGGACTTTGTGATACGAGGATGGATTGTCACTTTTAGTCTTTGTTAAAAAAACGTTATCAATCTGTAATAATCTAATAATTATCATGACAAACATATGTGTATGTGTGTGTGTTTGTGCGCAGGCATGTGTGTGTGTGTGTGTGTGTCTGTGTGAGGGAGAGTGTGTAAATAAATCGCCACCAAATCCCATCAATGCTGCTGGAGGTCACACATCCTGAGGAAATGTTCATGTGATCTTATGCCGCATGTGTGCCTTCGATAAAGTGCTCTTTTAGCGGTGTGTGTATGTGGAAATATTTTACGTACATGCGTGTGTTGGTAGTGTTTGAGTTCAGGTAAGGTGACTTTATAATTTCATCATAACTATTTAATATTTATTTAGTTTTAAGACCCTCCAGCAAAAAAATAAAAGATTTTGAATTTTTGTCTTGATTATTATTTTTATTATTATTATTGTATTGAAGTATCTCAGCAGAAGTGTTGAGATGAAAACTGAAGCTGTCAGATTCAGCTCGTATTTTCATTGTTATGATCTCCCAACTGGGGAAACCATTGCGTCATGTCTGCAGCTTGGTTCTGTTTTGGCAGTAAAAATAACTACAGCAATATCAGTGGCAGTTTGGTTTAACTTGGTCCAAAACGTGAAGCAATGCAGGGGAAATAATGCCTCCCACCTGGGAGTGTAGTGTGTGTGTGTGTGTGTGTGTGTGTGTGTGAGTCTATATGTGTGTGAGAATGCAGTGTGTGACTTTAAGCCATGGCGTGACTTCCTAGCCCCTGGCAAACCTTTACACCTCTCATCACCAGACCGTACTGTCTGCCAACATACACACACACATACGCACAGACAACTCACATTGTGCTACCAACACTCCTCTTGGTGATTGGCTGAGGGTCTGCGTGAGAATGGCATGCCAGACCTCTAATTGGCTTGACCCAGACTAACCCTAAAATCCTATTGGACTAAGACTTCCCAGTCTACAGTGTGGAACAGGAACACTATCACACCCACACACAGCCACCCACCCACCCACACACACACACACACACACACACACACACACACACACTTTAAGGGCTTTGCAAAAGCCTAACAATGCACTAATCAATCGTGTTCTGATAGGCTGGGCAGTACCACAGCAACAATAACATCATAAATGACAGTAACGTTTATAAAGACAACCATGTCAGTCAGATCATGCAGGAGAACATTGTTTGGTCACAAAAGCTAATATTCAAAGAGTAAAGATGTGATCCCTGAAAAAAAAAGTGTAAAGCAACAAAGAGATAAAGTTTTGGAAATCCAACTGTCTGTTAGACAAGTATCTAATATTGTCTGTTCAAATTCCTATCAGAGATTGGTGAAGTCACAGGTGAGGAAACATTGAACAAAATATAAATACAGATTGCACTGCATATGCATGCATTATCCTCATTTTATAGAAAACACATAGGTACTAAAAAGGTTTTGCAATCTGGGCATGTGTCTCTATCGCTTATCGAGAGAAACTTTCAATTATTAAAACACAGAAAGAGAAAGCGGCAGAGAGGGAGCAGGAATAAGAAGAGAGAGAACGTGTGCCTGTACTTCATGCGTGACGCATTTCCTCTGTTTTAACATGAAACAAGCAGCATATTTACAGTTTATGTTCCTAAAATAGACCAGTGTAGGCCTCAGCAACAACAACACTGACTCAGAACTGGTTCCACTGGAGAACTTTAAAGTAAAATATGGAGAAATAACAGTAAGAGAGATAGAGGTAGCCTGAGTATAACTGTTTTTTTTTAAATTGACATATTTGCCTTTCTACATGTTTGAAACAAGTTGGGAGCTAAAACATTGTTCACAAACACACACACACATAAACACATACATAAACACACGTACAAACAATTACTGATAACAGGCAGATAATGAAGCCTTTTCTCCTCACTTTAGTTTTATTATAGTATTATTTATTTATATGTTTTTCTTTTCAGCACGTTTAAAATTAACGCTGTTTATCAAAATGCAAGATAAATACAGAGTGGAAGTTCAATCTGAGACTGGGCCGCACTATGGAGAACCGCTCCTCGATGCCTATTGTCACTGATGCTCAGAGATAAATGATATCACGAGTAATTACGAGAAATCTCCATAGAGGGTGGATTTTAAAATACAAAAAAATCTCATCAAAAACTAGGAGAAAATACAGACTGCTAACCTGTTGTTGGTTATAGTTTAACAGGTTTTGCAGAAATTGTGTCTCCTGCACATCGTAACACAAACACAGGCAGTTAAACGGCTGATCGAATCAAGTGTTTTAGCAGAAAATGCAAAAAAAAAATTTCAAACTCGAGCTAAACAAAAAGGAAACTTAGTCTGATATGAACAGGAAATAAATACATGCAAACACACACACACATACAAAGTGCCTCTTCTTACATTTGAATATATCCTTTAAAAAAAGCTGCTTCTCTCAGTGCAATTTTGCAAACACATGCATGCCACTAAAAACACTGGTACACTGGTAAAAACACTTTTCAAAATCCTTCCCCTTTCTATCTTTTTCAGATGAGGATAATAGAGGTCACATGGGACGTTTGTGGGAATCTGAACCTAACAGATTCATAGATTCTCAGTCACTTTTCATTTGTGTATTTCACTCTGCATCTCTGCTTCGTGTCTCTGGCCTTCTCGTCATTGTGTCTTACCTGGGGTTGTAGAGGGCATGTGCGTCTCTCATGTGGTTGGCCTCCAGTGGATCGTAGCTCTGGTGCATTCTCCAGGCGCCAGCGCCGCATTTACCATAAGTTGACTTGGAATTATCTTCACTGCTGCTGTTCACCAATGGCCCCTTCGATAAGTTCATTCTGCGGGCAGCGACAGAGTGAGAAGAGAAAAAAAAAAGGATGGCATGAAAATATGGACGGTACAATTAAGAAGGATAGAAAAGCAGCAGGTAGGAATCTTCTCGGATGTTCCTTGGGGGATGCTGATCGAGAATCAAATTATTTTAGTCTCAACTTAAAGTTCTTGAAATGTAAATAAGCAAGGTAAACACAGGAACTAATAGTTTAAAGGCATAGAAAAAGTGGAATAAACATTGCAATACAAATTTAGATAAAACTGAAAAAATGTTTAATAAAATAGAAACGGTTTTAAATAAGGCTACCAACTTTCGTCCTCTTGTGTTTAATTCTGAATCACTAAACATTAACTATTTATTAGTGTCACAATCTAGTTTCCTGTCTCAGTTCAAATGGAGAATAAAAACTGAACAAAGACGTTAACATCACTAAGTGCTGTACAAATAATCTTTCAAAATTTAAAAAAATAAAAAATGACTTTAGTTGAAAACACTGACGGGGATTTTTAAAAAAAGTGTAAAGTGTAAAGAAAAAAGTTAAAAAACAAACAAAAGTTGGTTTTACAGTAAGTTTAGTGTTAGACAAATGAATTGGCTGGATGATATAAATGTAGTTAACAGACGCACACATTCATACACACTCAGTTTGCGTGTTCGCCCTCAGTTCATGTACGACACAGCTACATGCTAACAGTTCATAAACACACATGTAACTGCTTAGCACAGTTAGGACAAAAACAGCACGTATACAAACGATCAGAAAAAACACGGTTTAAAATCCACCGACACAAAGGCCGACACGCTGAGAGCCGCGCCACCAGGCACACAGCTTCCAAACAGATTCACAGAGGACCGGCTGTAATTTTAAACCAGTACACGAGCCCCTTTGTCCTGGATTGTGTTAGTAAATTTCTACCAAACACATCTGTCCGTGCGCACATGCATCAGCGGCTGCGTCAGGCCGCTAATCGAAGCACATTCCAGCTGCGTTTCACGTCAGAGAAGTTTTTTTTACCAGTTTTTAGCCTCGGAAAAGGCTTTCAGACCGAGGGAGTATAAAAGTAAATGCAGCGGAGGAGGGACTTCTATCCGTCAATCAAACGCAGTGCTGTCGTCAGGGGAAGAGCTGTCGCTGGGGTGATAAGGTCACCGTGGGGAACAGAATCAGAATCATCCAATGCAAAAATAAATTAATTAAATAACCCTGGAAAAAAAAAGAAAGAAAGCGATGGTACTTATAGTTGACGTCAAAGAAGAGGAGAGAAGGCAGGGCTTGTAATAAAACCGTCTGGGTGTCCTACATTTAAACAAAACTATCAGGGGAGAATGGAGCGGGGCCGGTGGGTAGAAAAGCACTTTATTACAGGCGGACAAAATAAAGGAAACACAGAAACCAATTCAGACTGAGGAATAATAGATGTCAGAACACAACTGGTGATACAGTGATCTTTCTAAAATAATAAAAATGCAGAAGAGATACCTGCTGGCAATTTAGATTTAGCTTGAGGCATCCTTGTGAGCAATTGTATTTTTAATTTTTTTTGTTGCATCATGATGGACACATTAAAATGTTTTTTCCAGTTCAATGTAAAATAAACCTTATAAGGAAGGAAGCCGCTTATAATTGATATTTCAGGTTGAAGCTATGCTCAGCAACTCTTCAAATTTACACATAATTGTTTGGTTTTTAATACCGACGCCGAGTTAACTTTGAATGCAGCAAAGCAAAAAATCACTTTAAATCATGCATTACAGCTAAATATTTACCAATAAAATAATCAGATTTCTTTTTGTTATCGTTGTTTCGGCTTCACTGGGTTTTTTCCTGTCATTACCACCTTCCTGTGTGTGTGTGTGAGTGAGTGTGTGTGTGTGTCTTCTCTAACATAGTGTATCAGTAAACAGAGCAGGATGTTGGTATGTGTCACAAACTGATAGACATGTGTTTACCACACAAACAACCGCCACACAGACATATGTGTGTGTGTGTGCGCGTGTGTGTGTGTGTGTGTGTGTTCTTGTTTAAGTGAGGGCTAGGTAGACAGACAGGTAGACAGACCAATGACTTGTCTGACAGCCATCCCTCCATCCATCCACAGAGCTGGGTTGGCTCAGTGAGAGGTAGAGGGCCAGGGTGTGTAATATGTAGGTTTTAGTTCCACTCTGGTGAATAGGAGGAATCAATATCTTTCTGCTGCTGCTGCTGCTTCAGACACTTATTGGCTTTGGTTGCGGTGTCACAATTCTATATAGACAGGCAACACTTAATACTGGTGTTTTTTTATTGGGGAGTGTCCTGGTGTCACACCGGGCTAAGGTACATCCAGTACCGTGTGCAGTGATAGTTTGAATCCCCTTTTCCTTCTTCCTCAGTCACACACAAGCTGGTAAATGAGCCGTACGTCCTGTAGCCCAGCATTAAAGACAGACAGTAGAGATGAATACATGTGAAGAAAAGGGAAAGATTCATCTGTTTGACTTTACGTCGTAATTACCAAAAGCCCTCAGACGCAATTTTAAAAAGTAAACCTGAGTTTTAAGTTCTGGGGTACCTATTCCGGTATTTTAGCGAAACGGCAAAAGGTTTTAAAACTGCTCAGGATTACAAAGAGAGGTTCGGTTTTATTACTTTATAAGTTAAGGCCACGTAATCAGATCATTTTTTGTGTCTTATTTTACACCAGAAGACTAAAATTAGGCGTTTTAACCATCATTTAAATCAGGCATTACCAGTGTTATTCTATTCAATACTTTAAAATCAAACAANCGCTCGCTCTCTCTGCTCCTGCAGTAATCCTCTTCTATAAATCTGCAATCCAATCAGCGTTGTCCACACTTACACACACACTCTCCCTCACACACACACACACACACACACACTTACAAACACACACAGAGCTGTTGGGAGGCCCATCTGTGTGTTAAGGCAATCTGCTTTATCATTATGATTACATTGGGCTCAGTTTACAGCAAAGTGTGTGTGTGTGTATTCAAGCGCATCCTTGCTGCCTGACATTAATCACATTCCCATGGTTTGATGGCCTAAATAAAAAGAGGAATAATATTGTTGCTGTCCAATGAAAACGGCAGATCTCCAAAAACACATCGGGAATTTCTTCACAATTCAGGAAACTTTAGATGTGAGAGAAGGCTTCAGGAAACAAATGAACGTTTTTCACTCTGTCACCACGTTTGATAGATTTTATAAGGACTTTGTGATACGAGGATGGATTGTCACTTTTAGTCTTTGTTAAAAAAACGTTATCAATCTGTAATAATCTAATAATTATCATGACAAACATATGTGTATGTGTGTGTGTTTGTGCGCAGGCATGTGTGTGTGTGTGTGTGTGTCTGTGTGAGGGAGAGTGTGTAAATAAATCGCCACCAAATCCCATCAATGCTGCTGGAGGTCACACATCCTGAGGAAATGTTCATGTGATCTTATGCCGCATGTGTGCCTTCGATAAAGTGCTCTTTTAGCGGTGTGTGTATGTGGAAATATTTTACGTACATGCGTGTGTTGGTAGTGTTTGAGTTCAGGTAAGGTGACTTTATAATTTCATCATAACTATTTAATGTTTATTTAGTTTTAAGACCCTCCAGCAAAAAAATAAAAGATTTTGAATTTTTGTCTTGATTATTATTTTTATTATTATTATTGTATTGAAGTATCTCAGCAGAAGTGTTGAGATGAAAACTGAAGCTGTCAGATTCAGCTCGTATTTTCATTGTTATGATCTCACAACTGGGGAAACCATTGCGTCATGTCTGCAGCTTGGTTCTGTTTTGGCAGTAAAAATAACTACAGCAATATCAGTGGCAGTTTGGTTTAACTTGGTCCAAAACGTGAAGCAATGCAGGGGAAATAATGCCTCCCACCTGGGAGTGTAGTGTGTGTGTGTGTGTGTGTGTGTGTGTGTGAGTCTATATGTGTGTGAGAATGCAGTGTGTGACTTTAAGCCATGGCGTGACTTCCTAGCCCCTGGCAAACCTTTACACCTCTCATCACCAGACCGTACTGTCTGCCAACATACACACACACATACGCACAGACAACTCACATTGTGCTACCAACACTCCTCTTGGTGATTGGCTGAGGGTCTGCGTGAGAATGGCATGCCAGACCTCTAATTGGCTTGACCCAGACTAACCCTAAAATCCTATTGGACTAAGACTTCCCAGTCTACAGTGTGGAACAGGAACACTATCACACCCACACACAGCCACCCACCCACCCACACACACACACACACACACACACACACACACACACACTTTAAGGGCTTTGCAAAAGCCTAACAATGCACTAATCAATCGTGTTCTGATAGGCTGGGCAGTACCACAGCAACAATAACATCATAAATGACAGTAACGTTTATAAAGACAACCATGTCAGTCAGATCATGCAGGAGAACATTGTTTGGTCACAAAAGCTAATATTCAAAGAGTAAAGATGTGATCCCTGAAAAAAAAAGTGTAAAGCAACAAAGAGATAAAGTTTTGGAAATCCAATTGTCTGTTAGACAAATATCTAATATTGTCTGTTCAAATTACTATCAGAGATTGGTGAAGTCACAGGTGAGGAAATATTGAATAAAATATAAATACAGATCACAATGCATATGCATGCATTATCCTCATTTTATAGAAAACACATAGGTACTAAAAAGGTTTTGCAATCTGGGCATGTGTCTCTATCGCTTATCGAGAGAAACTTTCAATTATTAAAACACAGAAAGAGAAAGCGGCAGAGAGGGAGCAGGAATAAGAAGAGAGAGAACGTGTGCCTGTACTTCATGCGTGACGCATTTCCTCTGTTTTAACATGAAACAAGCAGCATATTTACAGTTTATGTTCCTAAAATAGACCAGTGTAGGCCTCAGCAACAACAACACTGACTCAGAACTGGTTCCACTGGAGAACTTTAAAGTAAAATATGGAGAAATAACAGTAAGAGAGATAGAGGTAGCCTGAGTATAACTGTTTTTTTTTAAATTGAC